TGTATGAGGCTTTGTGTATTTTAAGAGGAATTTGATCTGCATAGTTCAACTTCTTTACACTTCACTTATCAAAATGCTAAATAAAATTTCCAGGAAGTCTGAGAAATACTTTATAATCTTTTTCTCCAAACTTTTATTTAGGAAAAGAAACAGTAGGGAAGTTTGGAAAATCCTATCAAAGAAAAGGCGGATTCAGGTGGAAGTTCACACATTCAGGGAGTCCTGTGTCCCAGAACTACACGTGGTAGGTGTGCAGTTACAATGTGCTCAAGGAATATATTTAAAAATCTCTTGAAAAGTAAGAGGAAGGGTGGGAAAGTTTAATAAGCACAGGCTCAAGGATAGGCTGAAAAATACAACACAATTAAAAATACAACACAATTTAAAACAACTTCTCATCTCTAATAGGCAATGTATTCCTAGTAGCCATAAATCAAATGAAGCTGAACTACAGCATTCTTGTATCATCCACCAGCATGAATTCCACTATTCTGCAGGTGTCTCTTCTCCTCATAAGACATGTGATAAAGGTGCTTATAGGATGCTTATGAGTGGAGGGATGGCCAGAGGAGAAGGTAGAAGAAATGAACCACAGAAGGTGGGTGCAAGCAGGTGGTGGAGTGAGTGCCCAGCACCATCTTTGTTTTAGAGAATGATTCTGACCACAGACTTAAGTGTGAGTTCTGAAGAGCTGTTTCTTCTAAGTTCTGGGATACATGTGCTGAATGTACAGGTTTGTTACATAGGTATACATGTGCCATGGTGATTTGCTGCACGTATCAACCCATCATCTAGGTTTTAAGCTCCATATGCATTAGATATTTGTCCTAATGCTCTTCCTCCCCTTTCAGCCTACCCCTCACAGGTCCTGGTGTGTGATGTTCCCCTCCCCTTGGGCAGTATGGGCTATTTTCATGATACTGATTCTTCTATCCATGAGCATGGAATGCTTTTCCAAAAAAAGAAAAGCTTAGCTTTCTAAGGGACCAAGTAAGACCCAAGGAGGAGAGACGTGTCATCAGTCTGTTCCTATTGTGCTGGAAGCACGGTGCTTGCTCATCACCTGACAGGCTGATTTCTGCTCATAGTGGCTTTGGCAGAGAGTGCAGCAATGGACACTGCCCCAAAGGAGAGAAGAAGGAAAAGGCAGATCCTGGTGGTATCGGATTACGTTTGGCTCAAATGCCTGGGAGGCATTCCCTGGGGATTCCCTGAAAAAACAATTTGAGATGGGGATTTTCTACAGGGAGCAATAATAATTATTGACAGTATCTAGAGAATACTGTTTATTATGATTAATATCCTTCTCATTTTAATCCCCAGGCTGGTGCAGGAAACACAGGCATGGATTACATATCTCTTTAAAGCCATGTATTTTCTGGCTTTTATTTTTTATTTTTTTTTCAGATTCTTTTTTTTTTTAAAATATATATTTTATTGCATTTTAGGTTTTGGGGTACATGTGAAGAACATGTAAGATTGTTGCATAGGTACACACATGGCAGTGGTTTGCTGCCTTCCTCCCCATCACCTATATCTGGTATTTCTCCCATGTTATCCCTCCCCAACTCCCCACTCCCCGCTGTCCCTCCCCTAGTCCCCCCCAACAGACCCCAGTGTGTGATGCTCCCCTCCCTGTGTCCATGTGTTCTCATTGTTCAACACCTGCCTATTAGTGAGAGCATGCAGTGTTTGATAGGGTTGTGTGGCAGTGACAATAGCAGTTGTCAAATATTTCTGGGACTCCTCCACATTTCCCAGTAGCCTTCCAGGTAGCTAGGTTGGTGGCAGTAATTGATTTGAGCCAACAGGTTGTGTGTCCTTTTCTTTTTTTATTATTATATTATTTTATTTTACTTTAGGTTCTGGGGTACATGTGCAGGCCATGCAGGGTTGTTGCATAGGTGCATACATAACCAGATGGTTTGCTGCCTCTATTTCCCCTTTGACTATATCTGGCATTTCTCCCCATGTTATCCCTCCCCACCCCCCTGCAGTCCCTCCCCTAGCCCCCCCAACTGCACCCCATGTGTGATGCTCCTCTCCCTGAGTCCAGGTGTTTCTGACCATATAGTTAATTCTTCCATTCCTCTCTCCTCTCCCTCAGTGATCTTGGTCTGCAATCTGCCCAGATGTTTTTGCTACAACAGGCTTCTCATAAAGGAGAACTAAACCTTTATTCTGTTAAACCGTTGTGATTTGGTGGGAGTGGGGAAGGTCTTGTTTGTTACAGTAGCTAGTGTTAACTAGCCTGATTAACACAATTGTTAACTAGCCTAATACAAGTTGTACCTTACAACCTATCGTTATGATACCCTGACAGTAATAAAGCTGGTGGTTTGGGGTAAGATTCTTAGAAGGTTTTAAGAATATAATAGTGCCTTATATTAATTATCTACTGCTACATTAAAAACTACCTTAAGAGGTAGTAGTTTAAAACAACAAACATCTATTATCTCAAAGTTTTTTATGGTCAGGAATTTTGGAGTGGCTTAGGTAGGTGGCTCCGACTCAAAGTCTCTCACGAAGTGCAGCCAAAATGCTGGCAGGAACCTTGACATCTGAAGGCTTGATTGGGGCTAGAGAATGCACTGCTAATAGAAGCTCTCAATTTATTGTTGGCTTCTGGCTGAAGTTCTCATTTCCTCATCAGATGCTCCTCTTTGTAGGGATTCTCAGGCAAGGGCAGCTAGTACCATTCAGAGAGAGTAATCCAAGAGAGAAAACAAACAGGAAACCACAGGATCTTTTATTACCTTGTATCTCATGTTGCTTTCTCACCCACCCATTCATTAGCAAAGTCACTAAGTCCAGCCACATTCAAGAGGAGGAAAACAGGTTCCACCTTTTCAAGAGGGTTTCAAAGAATTTGTGAACAGATTTTTAAACTGCATACAGCCCATTGCCCCAGAGTGGGTTTGTAGGTAGCTAAGGGGGGTAGAATGGTGGGTCTCACCTAAGGTAGGGGGTTCAATGATCCAGTGAAAATGAGGCTAATGGAGTATGGTGGAGTGACTGCTCCTGTCTGACACTACTCCTTTGTCTTATCAGCAGATGAAGGGAGCCCAGCCAATTCTATTCTAGCAACCTAGACTGGGCCCCTGACAAGCATCTGCATATGGAGATGCCAAGGTAAGCGCAGAGAAATCCCTGGTTGCTTACCCCTGTACATAGACATGATGCAGAGAAAATGAACTCTTATGAAACAGGACATTGTGCCGGAACCAGGCTGGTCCTGGCTTTACAGGCAGGTGGAGTTCTGGCACTGTCCTCTGACAAAGCCGCCTCCCGTCAACCTCCCAGCTTGCCCAGTGCTACATAGTGTGCTAATTGCTGATACAAACCCTGGGAGTTTGCAGAGTAGGATAATATAGATCCTACAGAAAGAGAAATTCTTCCCTTTGCATAAAACATGTGCAAATGAAGTTGATCTTGATTTCAGCCCATGGCAGGAAATGGCAGTACCACTGGAAGTATTGGCTCTGTGAAGGCTGGAATTTTCCATCTTTCCTCCTATATTCATAGAGCCTATATAAGTGTACACTAAATAAAAAGCACCTTGCTGCTTTTTTAAAATTAATCGAATGAACTAGCATTTACCATGGAAGAAGGTGTGGTGGCACAAGAGAATTACAGAAGTTCTAGGTCTCAGGTTGCTGATGCCAGCAAATTCACCAGCCCAGCCATACTGATGGCAGGCTTGCACCCTGGGGAAATGGTTGTGTGAGTTCCTATAAAATAATAACACTAACACTGGGGTCTAATCCAATTACAATATGACCCACCCTTGGCTGAGCCCCTGCCCACCATGGGGCAGGGCAGGGACCAGAGGTAAAAGCTCAGTTTATGACACACCTTCTCAGGTTGATGGCGTTTACTTGCATAGCCATAAAAAGCAGCCACTGGGGACAGCAGGAGAGTGTGGTAAGGCCGGACATGTTGCATTAGCCTGCCAAACACTACTAGCAGCAGTGAGAATTTCCTTAGACTCCCCAGATCTGGACAGCAACATCAGGCTCTGGGGCCACCCTGGTGGTGCAACAGAGCTCCTCCCAGCTGGCAGTGTCCAGAATGTGAAGTCCTTTAGCCTCAGGGAACATAGTTTCGCCTACTAGAAACTGATCAGGAGGAGCCAGAACTCAGCCCTGAGGAGGGTGAACTTCTTTGTCATTTTGGCATAAGCTTCCCTGGTTGAGACACCAGATTGGTGAAGTATAACATACTGATTTGAGTTAGTTTTATTTAAACTTTAAGAGGAGTTTTAACTGGACCATCACCCCCAGGAAGCGTCTCATGCAAAGAACAGCCAAGAAGGCCACAGTGTCCATCCCACCAATGACACACAACAACTGACCATTCACCCCCGTATCCTTCACTGGATTTTCCATACGGCCAACTCAAGTACACATATTGCTTTGCCAAGTGATGCTTATCCTTGTTTGCAATTACCACAGTGTTTACATTTCTCTTCTTTAGCTAGATGGGAGGGTGCAGGGAAAGATGGTTGGATCAGGAGATCTAGTTCCTATGCTCTGACACTGAATTTGCTGGGCGACTCTGGTCAAGCCCATCAACCCACCTGTGCCTCTTCTCGTGGCCCTTGTTCAGATATGCAGTGATTTCATGACTGATTTTCAGTGTTGGTCTCAAGCATGTAGCTGCCATTTGGTGCACAGTTGATGATTAGCATATCTTTATAATCACTAATGAGGGAAGGAAAATTCCAGAGAAGCTCTTTGGAGATACCTAAGACTAACAATGAGCTAACCATACTGCCAACCAAATTTCATTAAAAGAAACTCAAATTATTGTCCTTTTTCAAAATGAAAAACAATAATTGGCCTTAACTAACATTTTCTGGGCTTTAAATATGTACCTTGCAGTGTCTAAATATTGTACACATTGTTTTCGTTCCCTCCTGTTCACCCCATTGGTGAGGGAGAGATCCTGCACTAGAATTATGAGGATGACCAAACACATTACACTCGATGCTTAAAAGATGAGATTGACAGCAGTTATTATTCACATACACTTGCAGCTTGGAAGAGGTGGACACAGCACTGGATGCCAGCCACACAGGCATTGCCCTCAGGAGCAGAGTGAACAGGCAGGGGCAGCGGGTGGTAACAAGAGGGTGAGGTGCCCCCTGGTCCTTGCAGGAGCATGTGATGGGCTTTGAACAACTCCATGACTGGCAGGAAACTGATACCCACTACTCAGGGATAAGTAGGAGCTGTGCCAGGTCCACTTGATAAGGAAGGTTGCTTGACTGAAGCCTTAACTGCAAGAGTAGAATGGAGAGAGGCTCTTGTGGTTAGGCCAGTAGAGGCACTGCTGATTTGGCCAGATTTGAACGCAGCACACCGTACCAAGCCTTAATTTCAGGCTTTACGTGACACACACATCATATTACTTCATCATCGCAACACTCCTGTGAAATATTATTACGTCTTTTACAGATCATGAAATCGAGGCTTAAATGAGGCTAAGCAAATTGCCCAGTGTTTTCTAGCTGGCAAGTGGTCGAGGTATTCAGTCAGGTTTGTTAATCTGAGTCTCACCCCATAAGCAACTGTGGACAGGTAGATGTGACAACCCATCTTAGACATGAATCAAGAAAAAAGAAGGACAAGGGGGCACACCCTACCCCGAATAACGAGAGGGCTCAACCGAAACACACACAGTCTTTTGTTGTGTCCACCATTTGACCTTGTGAGTCCCAGGCTACCTTCCACAAGGCAGCCGGGTTAATAAGGCCGCCTCAGTGACCGCTAACAGCAGCAGCTCTGCCTCACACTGTAATCAGTGGTCCCTGAAGTGCCTACAGCCCAGCTGCTCGGGACACACTTTTGATTCTACAGCCTGGGGGAAGAGAACCCATCCAGGCAGATCAACCATCTCCTACGTGCTTCAAATTCCCAATGCCAAGGACAGCCCCAATCAGTCATTGTTTTGCATGTGCATTTTGGGTATGTCAAGAGGACTTGATGCTCTAGGATAAATTATTCTATACAGAAAAGAGGCTTTAGATCTCTTTCAGTCCAAGTCCCTCGTTTTATGGTTAAAGAAAGTAAAGTGGCCTCCCCAAGGCTACAAAGCTGGTTAGGGCAGAACCTACTGGGATCCCATTCCAAAACCCTTTCCCAACTCCCTCCTCCCATGCACACCTCCCACTATGAAGTGGAAGAACCGATAAACTCTCTTCCTCAGCACCCTTTGCAGATAAGCTGACCATGTGACCCGTTCCAGACTTTGTGCCGAAAGGGAATCTGCCAGGGGGAGTCTGGGAGCGGTGTTTCCTCCCTGATGGAAAGAAAGCTTGGGGAAAGAGATCTCTCACTGTCCTCTTCAACCCCTACCTCCCATAAGAGCCAGGACCTGAGGCTTGAAACCAGAGGTGTCTTTTGGCCATGATGGAAATTTCAGAGAGGTGGACACAGCAACTCAGTGTCATGTGGCTGCTGAATCAACCCCCAGACTGCCCTTCCTGACTCCTCATTCAGCAATAGTTAACCCAAGTTTAAACCACCGTTAGTCATGTTTTCGCTTCTTTGCAACCAAACACCCTCCTCTGAGCAGCATTCACTAGAGTCGGGCAGATGGTGAATACTCAACAATGTCATTCACTCACGAGACCCAGGGCAAGAAATGTTTCTTTGTCTCAGTTTCCCTTTCTGGAAAATGGACATATACTTTTAAGGGAGGTGCTATAAAGTATTGGTCCTCAACCTTTTTGGCATCAGGGACTGGTTTCATGGAAGACAATTTTCCCATGGCCCATGGTTGGGGGAGTTGGGGAATGGTTTCAGGATGACTCAGCGCATTACATTTATTTTGCACTTTATTTTTATTATTATTACATTGTAATATAAAATGAAATAATTATACAACTCGCCATTATGTAGAATCAGTGGGAGCCCTGAGCTTGTTTTTCTGCAACGAGTCAGCCACATCTGGGGGTGATGGAGACAGTGACAGATCATCAGGCATGAGATTCTCATAAGCAGCATGCAGCCTAGATCCCTTGCATGTGCAGTTCCAAGTGGAGTTTGCCATGAGAATCTAATGCTGCCACTGATTCGACAGAAGGTGGAGCTCAGGCAAAATGTGAGCAAGGGTGGGTGACTATAAATGCAGATTAAGCTTCCCTCGCTCACCTCCTGCTGTGCAGCCCAGTTACTAACAGTCCAGGACTGGTTACCCATCTGTGGCCCGGGGTGGGGGGCGGTTGGGGACCACAGCTGTAAAGCTTAAAATATTGATAAGAGCATGTAATATGTTCTAGCTCACAGGTGACTGTTAGCTAGCATTGTTTCATTATTCTCTCGGCCTACTTCACGGTGTCTCTCCAACACAGAGCTCCTCAAAGCTTCTGACAATACAGCTGAATTACCTGGAGATCTTGTTTAAATTCAATTTCTGATTCAAAAAGTCTGGAGTGGGACTGCGGCTGCATTTCTGAAATCTTTTAGAGTATGTCTGTGCTGCTGGTGCTCAGATCACACTTTGAGAAGCAAGACCGTGGGACCCTCTGGGTCTGTTCCCTACTAGTTCAGCCTCCTAGCTGGTGGATCTGCTCTAATAGAATGTCCCAACTTTCTCACTATCTCATGGGAGCTGGCTCCTACAGTCAGACTGTCTTTGCATCCAGCAGCATCTTCATCAAATTCTAATTCCTGTGTTGAGCCAGTGACTCAGACACTGCTTCTCTGGGTCTAGTGGTTGTCATTGTCAATCACAATGTCACCCTCAATGGCCCATACTCTAGCCTAGTCAGAGGGAGCTGGATATACAGTAAGACAGGTATATGGAAGAAATCTGAGGCTCTTTGAGGATTTCATTCAAAGTAGGATGTAAAGGTCTATGTACTTCAAAACTGGAGCCACCTGGGGACCTTGGTCTCAGGATGACGTATGTTATGATAACCCCCGGACTAGAATCCTTGAGCTCCTTTGATCTAGCACTGTGCTCTGGCATGGGAACCTGCTTAAAGTTTGTCTTGACCCAGTTCATCTCATCTGCCTGCCTGCACCTCTAGCACGGCCTGCCTGTACCTCTGTCAATTGTCTGTGCCAGGTGTCCCATTCCCCTCCTTCCACCTGTGAAGAAGTTCAAAACCTGCTGTGAGCTCTACTTCTTGCCTTCACATACCTCTTCCCCTTCTTCTCCCTGCACTGCCTCCACTGGGTCTCCCCACACTTCTGCTTCTGCTCCCCAATCCTTTGCTTTGCTCTCCATCCTGCTGAAGTTCACCTTTTTTCCTTCCAGATTGTGCCCTCATTTCCCTTATAGTCCATTTTGTGTTTCTATGACTACAATAGACTGTGTAATTAATAAAGAAAATATATTTATAAAATGTATTCTCACAACTCTGAAGTCCAGTGTCAAGGTGCTGGCATCTTGTGAGGGCTTCTTGCTGTGCCATCACCAGGCAGAGGACGAGAGAGCAAGAGATGGCCAAACATGCTATTATAACGAGCCCACTCTCGTAATGACAAACTTACTCCTGCAATATTAACATTATCCTATTCATGATGGTGAAGTCCTCATGGCTTAATCACCTCTTAATGGTCCCACCTGTTAATGCCATCACAATGGCAGTTAAATTCCAACACAAGTTTTGGAAGTGCTATGTTTTGATTACTTGTCCCCTTCAAAAAGAATGTTGAAAAGTCTCAACATAACAGCAGTATTAATAGGTGGGGTGTTTAAGAGATGAGTGGGTCATAAGGGCTCTGACTTCATGAGAAGATTAATCCATAGATGAATTATTGGATGAATCAGTTTTCACAGGAATGAGTCTGTTTAAAAGCCAGCTTTGCTCTCATTTTTATACCCTTGCCATGTGATATCCTGAGCCATATTGAGATTCTCCAGAGTCCCCAGCAGCAAGAAGGCTCTCAACAGGTGTGGCCCCTTAACCTTGAATTCCTCAGAATTGTAAGAAATGAATTGATTTTCTTTATAAATTACCCAGTGTCAGGTATTCAGTTTAAGCAACAGAAAACAGAGTAAAGCAGGAGGGGACATTCAAACCACAGAATTCCAATCATGACCCCCCCAAACTAATGTTTTTCTGACATACAAAATGCATTCATTCTATCTTGATAGCCCCAAAAGTCTTAATTCATTTCAGCATCAACCCAAAAGTCCAAAGCCCAGAGTCCAATCTGACTTAAAAATGGGGAGACTCAAGGCATGATTTATCCTAAGGCAACTTCCTCTCCAGCTATAACCTGTGAAATTAACAAGTTACATGCCTCCAAAATACAATGGTGGGACAGACATAAGCTAGACATTCCCATTCCAAAAGGGAAGAATAGGCAAGAAGAAAGAGACAACTGGTCCCAGGTATTAATCAATCTAACACCCAACAGCAAGAACAACATGAAGCTCCAGAATAACCTGCTTTGACTCCTTGTCCTCGGCACTCTGGGGCAGGAGTTTGGCTCCCAGGGCCTCAGGCAGCCTGCCCAACCCCTGCAGCAGTTCCAACTCCACATTTCTACTCAGCATTTTCCGAGTCAAACTCTCCATGATAACTCTGCCTCCATGACAAGTCTTTACCTGGGCCCCAGGTGGACCATGACAGCCTTTAAAATCTAGGTGGAGGTCACTGTGCCCCACAGCTCTTGCATTCTACCTGCCTGCAGAATTAGCACCACGTAGATGCTGCCATTGTTTACAGCGTGTGCCTTTTGGAGCAGTGGGTGGAGCTACACCTGCGCCCTCTTGAACCACAGTTGGAGCAGCTGAGAATCACTGCACCAGGATGTAAAAATAGAGACCCAAGGTGGTCCTGGGCAGTGAGCCTGTAAAGGGCACCCAGATCAACCATTGTGTCCTCTTAGAGCTCTGGATCTGTGACTGAGGGCAGCCTTGAAAATCTCTGAAATGCCTTTGGGGTTATTCTTCCACTGTCTTGATGACCTCTTCCATCTGTACTAGTCTTCCTTAGAAAACAGTGTGTTGGCCAAAAACCAACCTTGGTTTTTCTCATTCGAACACATTTTCATTCTTTAAATGGTCAGGCTGAAAATTTTTAAAATCTTTCTATTCTGCTTTTTTTAAAATTATAAATTCCATCTTTAACTAAGTCAGCTTTCCCTCTTGGATCTTACTGTACGCAGTTAAAAGTAGCTCCATGATTCCTCCAATACTTTGCTTAGAAGTTTTTTCTACTAGATATTCTAGTCAGTCACTCTTAAATTCCACCTATAAAGCCCTACTGCATGGACACAATCTGGCCAAGTTCTTTGCCATTTCATAACAAGGATGCTCTTCCCTGCAGTGTCCAATAAGATATCCCCCTTCCCACCTGAGACCTCATCAGAATGGGCTTCACTGTCAGTATTTCTATCCACATCCCCCTTCCCACCTGAGACGTCATCAGAATGGCCTTCACTGTCAGTATTTCTATCCACATCCCCCTTCCCACCTGAGACCTCATCAGAATGGCCTTCGCTGTCA